CATACTTAAACCCAGATTTTGCCATAAAACTCACTGCATGTTACTTACCTACCCAAAATAGCTTCCGATTCACACAATAATCAACATTATCCTTTATAATMTTTSAAAAACAKAATCTAGCCTCTAATTTATACACTTCTACTTGAAATAAAMTTGAAATTAGAAGCATACCTTTAATGATTAACACTTAGTCTTCAAGAATCTAACATGGATCTTCACGGTTTGAAGGTTTAACCTTAAATGTGTGTAAATTGCACCTTAAGTGTGGGTGAGAGTTCTAGACTTAGATGATATGGAAAATGGATCAAATCTCCTATTTTATAATGCTAAACTCAAGTTGGGCCGGCTTGGCCCGTCTAAGAACCCATTTGGATCTACAAACTCCCACTAAATTATAAACCCACTATAACCCAATAAATAATCAATTATTCTAAACAAATAATTGGATATTTTGGAACTTGGATGTTACAAATACCTCTTCCTTTTGAGGATTTCGTCCCCGAAATCACTGTTGTGAAAATAAAGAAGGGTATTTTGCCTTCATCTCATTCTTGCGTTCCCACGTCCAATTTGACCCGTGATGATGTTTCCACCTCACTAATACCAAATCTACCTCTTTATTGCGCAATTTCACTGTCCGCTCTTTCAAGATACTTTCGGGCTCTTCGGTATATCGAAGTTTTTCATTTATCTTAACTTCCGACAAGGGTACTTCTTCTTCATGTTTGCCAAACATTTTCGTAGATAGCCGACATGGAAAACATGATGTATACCCGCTAATTCTTCTGGTAGTTCTAAACGGTAAGCTTGTTTCCCAACCCGTTCAATAATCTTGAATGGACCGATAAAAAGGGGACTGAGTTTCCCTTGCTTTCTAAATCGGAGCACACCACGCCAATGGGAAACCTTCAGCATTACTAGATCACCGACCGAGAACTCGATCGGCCTTCTACGACGATCCGTGTAGGACTTTTGTCGATCCTAGGCCGCTTTCATTCTTTCTCTAATCACTTGAATCTTATCACTTGTGATTTGCACAAGTTCGGGCCCCGTCAACACTTTCTCTCCAGTTTCCCTCCAACAAAAAGGCATACGACACTTACGTCCATACAAAGCCTCGAAAGGAGCCATGCCGATTGTCGAATGATAACTGTTATTATAAGAGAACTCAATGAAGGGCAAATGAGTATCCGAGTTACCACCGAATTCCAGAACGCATGCTCGTAACATATCCTCAAGCGTCTGAATAGTACGTTCAGATTGACCATCGGTTTGAGGATGATAAGCCATACTGAACGCATGTCGTGTACCCAACTCATGTTGAAAACCGGTCCAGAAGTTAGAAGTAAATCTAGAGTCGCGATCAGAGACAACTTTCACAGGCACTCCATGT